TTCTCATTATGTTTCAAATCGTTACTACATGTTGCATGTCCAATGATTATTTATTCTATTTTTTGGGTCTTAACATTTTTTTATTATCTTTCTCTTGAAATATGCTTCTTGATTTACGATCTTTCATTTCTTCTGTCTCTATGCTGCTCTGCAATTGGGACATGCTGAATGTGCAGCCGAATCGTATTCTTCTAGTTACTATCCATCACATGCTATATCCTATTACAGTGGAAGTGCTGCAGCAAGTATTTTCAACTTATGGATCTGTGGAGAAGATTGTAACATTTCAGAAGTCTGCTGGTCAGCTTCTACAAGTTTTCTCTCTCCATCTCTCTATTTTCTGAAAGGTTAAATCCCCATTTTGGTCCTTGAACTATTGTACGGACCCCCGATTTGGTCCTTGAACTAAAGAAATCCCTGATTTGGTCCCTAAACTATTGTATGGACCCCCGATTTGGTCCCCACTGTTTATAATTTGGCCTAAGTTGGTCCTTGAACTATTGTATGGACCCCCAATTTGGTCCTTACTATTTCCAATTTCACCCCAATTTGGTCCCTGAGCTATTGTTTAACAGAAGGACCAAGTTGGGGCTAAATCGGTAAACAGTAAGGACCAAATTGGGGATCCATATAATAGTTTAGGGACTAACTCAGGGTCCGTACAATAGTTTAGGGACCAACTCAGGGGTCCGTACAATAGTTTAAGGACCAAATTAGGGATTTCTTTAGTTCAAGGACCAAATCGGGGGTCCGTACAATAGTTCAGGGACCAAAATAGGGATTTAACCTTTCTCAAAGCTAACTCTTTGGCTCTCAAAAAATACACTGATGGATAAAGGACTTTTTGATATGTTTGGGTTTCATTACCATACTCAATAAAAAATTTAAAATTTTTGAAGTTTCTATTTTTCCCATTTTCTAATGCATATTCCTTTCAAAGTCATAACATCTTTGTTCTGCATCAACTTGTTATTTTCCAAACATTTTCCCTCTTCATTCTTGTTCATGCAAAATCTATAGGTTTTCAAGCTCTGATTCAGTTTCAACTTCGCCAGTGTGCTGTCTCGGCAAGAACTTCTCTTCAGGTATTAATTATTATTTTTTTTTAGAATATACAGTTACTTTAAACTGCCAGCACGCTTAAGGTTTGTTTGGTAATTTCTTTTCTGAAAGGGTTTGACATGTTAATTCTTTTACAGGGTCGTAATATTTATGATGGCTGCTGTCAGCTGGACATTCAATATTCTAAGTAGGTTTCAACAATTAATTGTAATGTGACTTATGTTTTGAACAAGCAGGTGTGAAAATTCTTTCTTCTTTTCTGAAGTCTGTATTTGGTTGTTTATATGTTATTAACTTTGTATCCAGCCTTGATGAGTTACAAGTTCACTACAATAATGATCGGTCAAGGTACAGTATCAGCAACTGTCTTCATAATTAAGTCTCTTTAGTACCCAGTTGGCATCATAATTTACATGCTGATTAAAATTATAATTTCCTTCCTTGCCTAGGGACTTCACAAACCCAAATCTGCCAACAGAACAGAAAGGCAGAACCTCACAAGTATGCTCAATTCACCTTTCTCTCCCGTTTAGTTTATTAATCTGACATTGTTTTTTCTTGCTTTCTTTTTCTGCTATGATTTTATTTTATTTTATTTTTCTGGGGTATATTTCTTGATGCAGCATCCTGGATATAGTGATGTAGGAGGTATGCATACCCTTCAATCTCATGGAGCCTGCCAGGGCAAGTGCTTAATTGGCAGGATGTCAATTTCTTTCTTCTCTTTTGCCCATTGTATGTTTCCTTAGTTTGCTAACTGACCTGCATTTTGATTTTCTTGTTGTTCCAGTTGGATTTCCACAGGTGGGTTATTGCTTGAATCATTGTATAAGTATATATGAGAAGATTCTTTGTGTTCTGGGGTTATATTGATCTTCATCTATTATATTCAGGACAGGAAGGATATCTATTGTGTCTCATATCTTCTTTATATACATATATACATATATATATATATATATTATGAAATTTGAAAAAAATCTAAAATTCTAGATTAATTCAACCAAATGCTTAATCTATCTAATATAAGCCAAAGTTGTTCAGTTAATCTAATTGGCTGGTTCGTGTGGAGACATTCCAGATTCTATAATCATGTGAATTGTCTTGAAGCGCGAAACAGATCTTAACCTGCTTTTGTTCATTCATATATCTTAAGATGCTCTTCCAATTATGTAATGCTGCTACTTTTTTCTTTTCCATGAAAATTAGATGGCCAATGCAGCTGCAATTGCGGCTGCCTTTGGAGGAGGTTTGCCTCCTGGAATAAGTGGGACGAATGATAGATGTACTGTGATTGTCTCCAATTTAAATCCTGATGTAAGTCAAAACCAACTGTATCATCTTTTCTTTTAATTTTTATTTGAAGTTGAGAGTTATTCCGGACTTCAGCTACCTTATTCTTGACAAGAGTTCCTTTGTTTCAGAAGATAGACGAGGATAAGCTTTTCAACCTGTTCTCACTCTATGGAAACATTGTACGTATTAAACTTCTACGCAATAAGCCAGATCATGCTCTTGTTCAGATGGGAGATGGCTTCCAGGCTGAACTGGCAGTACACTTTTTGAAGGTACAGTAGTAGAATCTGTGACATATATTTCTGGAAATACAGTTCTTGGGTTATTCATCAACAATGAAAAATCAAAAAATGTAAATCTTTATTTTGTTATAGAAGGTATATTGTCTTGAATACAAATATGTAATTGTTTTAACATTCTATGTCCCTAGTTATTTTCCTGGATTCTGATTAAGAGTAGTATTGTTTTAGACACTTTCTGTTGCTGGTTTTGATTGGTTTCATCTGGTTCTATCTTGTTTTTGGTATAAGTGATAGAAATATAAGAATGAACAATCTAGTATTGTGCTCCACATACAAAAAATAAATGTAAATAAATTTGCACCTTTTGTTTTAATCTTTTCCATTAGAGGCTCCAAACAATATTGTATGTTACTGTTTATTCTTGTTAATAGCAACTTTTAACTGCTTTTAAAATTTGTGACATTTTGCATCCAATCAGGCTTCCGTTATTTATATAGAAAGAAGAATATGAGACTGCATATTTTTAATCAATGAATTTATGCTTGGTACTAATGTGCTCTGAAATTTATTATCAAGGGGGCCACGCTATTTGGGAAGCATTTGGAGGTCAACTTCTCAAAACATCCAAGTATAACTCAGGGAGCTGACACACACGAGTACTCTAACTCAAATCTCAACCGCTTTAACCGCAATGCTGCAAAGAATTATCGGTATTGCTGCTCCCCAACCAAGATGATTCATCTTTCCACTCTACCCCAAGATGTCACTGAGGAGGAAATTGTGAATCACCTGGAGGAACACGGTCCCATTGTCAATACAAAGCTCTTCGAGATGAATGGGAAGAAGCAAGCTCTTGTTCTATTTGAAACTGAAGAACAGGCCACCGAAGCCCTTGTGTGTAAGCATGCCAGCTCACTCGGTGGGTCTATAATCCGGATTTCATTCTCTCAGCTACAGTCAATAAAAGAGAACTCCCAGTAATAATCTAACGGTATGAAACTGCAATGGTGAACTAGACTAGGATTACAGATTCATTGTTCCCCAGGATATTTATATGGGTAATGGGTTGTCTTTGGTCTCTTGTTTTCATGTAACGCTGGATTATTTGATTTTCTGGTGTTGTAGACTAAAAATGTTCTCTTTTTTGGTCATATTTACTCTTACCTAGTTCTTGTACAACAACTTTTTAGGTTCCTTGGAACTTCAGGTAGCTTCTTTTTTCCTTTTTCTTTCTTTTTTTTTTTTTTATTTGTTTGCAGATCGGATCAGTTTTGAGAGAAATGAATCACCTTTGCCGGTTGAGACTGTATCAATGTTGTATCTTTCTTGTAATCCAAAATCATTCACTGCTTTGATGAACACGTTTTCCTGAAACCACAACTGAGATGGGTTCTCGTTTTTGTTACTCCTCTCCTCTCCCCCTCTTTGAAGCCAATCAAAAGTGCAATTAGGAAAGCTGTAAACGAGTAATTGTTTGTTGCCTCTTCCTAGTAGGACTATAGTTCTATCCGTTTTGACTTTTTAGAACTCGCAGCGCCATTTACAGAACTGCTTAGATCTTCTTGTGGTGGAAGTTTTTCAGCCACAAGAACAGGTTGCGCTGAATGTCAAGAAGGGCTGCGGATATGGGTATGGGCTAACAGCTGATTCAACCTTCTTAAATGGGTTGTGTTCGTGAAAGATTCAGTTTCTTGTTTTGATTTCGAAGTGAGCTTGAGCCCATTTGTATTTTGTTTTTAAGCTATTGAACTGGTTCAAAAACAAATCGCTAGAGGAAGGGCTTGAACCTTCGACCTTGTGGTTAACAGCCACACGCTCTAACCAACTGAGCTACTCCAGCTAATTTGTGTGATGATAATTCTAAAATAGTAATGAACTTATAATCTTCTTCTAAAGATTAATACAATCTTCCTCGTATTTGCTTTTGACGACAATTTTTAAAACGCATATAACATTTCTTCTTCGTCACTCTGCCCACAGAACTAATAATAGCTAGATAAAAAGGGGAAATAAAACAACAGCATTTTGCCACTACATGACAAAGTACCAGCTAATAATTTTCATTTGTTTTAGTTTCTTAATTGACCATTAAAATGGCAAATTTTGTTATATCCCTTGATTTGGAGAGCTTGAAACGTGATTAAAGTTATGCATAATAATGTGGAGAGATTCAGAAGCATTTGGCTTTCTTTGGTTGAAGACTGCTCCCAATCTGGATCATGAGATCGTACGTGTGATAGGGATTTTGAAAGACTATTTTGGTTTCAAAACCCTTGACAAGTTTTACTTTCGCAAATTTGATTCTATAGTAGCTGATCTGGAAAGGAAGCCGCACATGTTGATGATGGTTGCTGTTGGTATTCACAGGACTGATATTGACAGATTGACTCTGCTATTAGAATATACCATTTGATGTTCAATATCCTTACACTTTCATTCCCATCTTTTGTTCCAACATTTATATGCGCTTTATGTTATTGTAGACCAGCATAATGTGTATCCATAGATATTGTGTGTATATCATGTACAACAAAGTGTTGTATAATTTAGAGAGTACCAAATTGTAAAATTAAAATCATTAGATGGAGGGTAAAATACGTTTAATATCCCTCATTCAATAATATTTGTTTTGTAATTCAATATAATACATAATACAAAATAAAAAACTCTATCTTGCATCTTGGTTTTGTCTTACCAAAGCCCAAGTTTGGTTGATTGATCTTCCCAGTTTTGTATCTCAACTTTGTTCTCGTCCTGGCAGCTAAGCTAGTAATCTATGAAATTGTCAAAATCCATTTGGAGATGAACTATGTACGCGTGACCAAACTGGCATAATTTGATGTTTAAGTATTTGCCAATGACCTTGACAAAATGATAGACTTTCATCCTCAACGTTTTTTGACAATTGTCCTGTTTTGAAGGAAAGGAAAATTAAAGCGCCTGTTTAAAGTCTAGCATCAAGACCAGTTTCATGTCTGAACTCTTATTTCTAACTAGATTTTTCTCCATTTTTTAAGTGGGATTTGTAGATTTTTCCCAGCAATTCACATACTGCATGCAGCCTCTTATCTTTTAATTGTTTTGATTGGATTTTCCTTCTAGTGTAGTGTGAAAGAAAGATTTGGTTCTCCAATTGATGATTGGATGAGATGAGTTCTGAATCTTCGATTGCGGCGGATCAACTTGATGGTGACTGAATGGACATCCAGTGCCAACGATAAATAAATCAGCCTCGGCATTTTCTTGGAAGCATCCTCCTTTGGGGGCCATTCTAGAGTCAAAAGTTGTGTAGATTGTACCAAGATTGTTTCAAGATTCCTTTCCTTCTCATTTCTAATTATACTTTCTTGAAAAAATATATATTCGAGAAAAATTAATATCTTTAGATAATTAAAATTTCGATTCTTAAAGTTAATGAAAACGAAATAAAAGTTATCAACTGTCTTGTCTAAAAATTTAAACTAATAAAAACGGCTTAGAGATGTTTTTATATTCTAATTCATACATCCCCTCCTACATATACATGGTTGTCGGTACGGAAAGCATGGACAAAGAACAAGCGAAACTATACAGCTTATGTTGAAAACTATACAGCTTATGTTGAAAACTGAATTGAGAGGTCAATGTTCAAAATATGTATATTTTAATATCTTCTCTAATTATTAAAATATAAGAGTGAATAAACTGTTGACTATAACCTAATGAAATAGTAATGATTTTTTTCGTTAAATCAAAAGTAAAAGATTTTAATTCGAATTTTATGATAAACAAATAAAGAGAATAAAGAGATGAGACGACTGATTCGCATTCCAAATTGATTTTGGACTTATTTGCCTTCTTAATGATTCTTATCCTTGAATTTGTGCATTTATCATCTTAATGTCTTAATTTGCTGCCCTCACATGCAATTGGAATCTCCTCCACGCAGGAATGCTTAGAATGTTGGTGTTTTATTTGATAAAGTTGGGTCTAAATACATTGCACCATTAGCAATGGTAGTAAGAAGTAATTAAGAATCTGTCCATCCAAAAATAAAAAATGTAATTAAGAATCCAAGAATTTTTAAGATGACAGTCCACTTTGCGTTTACGTCCGCAATGAGCTCAACGTGCACTGCAGTACGCCAATCAGCTGTACGGCTTAAATAGTCACGTTTTTTTTTTTTTAAATAAATAAATAAATTGATGGCATTTTCAATGATATAAAACTTGACTGTCAGATTCGATACTTTCAAATTTTAAACTCTCATCCTTTAAAAAATAGATATTAATATTAGTAATATAATTGTCACTTAAGAAAAAAAAAAATTGCACCGCACTATATGCGGCAAAAATTTATTTGTAACTTTTTATTTTACTAAGTTTAAAAGTTTTAATTTATTATCTTATATTATGATATTTTTAGTCTTTCATCTTACTAAATTTGTAGATTTAAGCATCTCATTTATTAAAATCGAAGAAAATAACCATCACTTTATACTGACTATTAACTCTATTAATTGAAAGTAAGGTCTCGAGTTCGAGACCTTGTGAACGCAGCAGTCCTCACTGGGAGACTCACCAACTATTTCGAGGTACGCGATGCGGGTTGGATCTAGATTAGTCGGGGCAAAACCCCAAATATTGAGCGAAAAACCAAAAAAAAAGAAAAAAAAAAGAAGAAGATGTAGCATTCATTATTCTTTAGTCAAAGTTCAACGTCCCGACACCCAAAATAGAAGAACGAAACCATAAAAGTTGACAACTTTTCTCCTCTTTCTTTCTTTTTTTTTTTTTTTTTTGGGAACGTTGAGAATTTGGAGGGACGAGAGTAATTTTCAAGTCAATCGTAAACTCTCGAGCTTAAGGCCCGAAAGCTTTTGGAGATGAACTACTTAATTAGCCCATTGGGTAGTTCTGTTTCTTCCCCTTTTTCATGAATTTTTCACCTTAATTATTGATATTTACAGTCTCCTTACGGTCGCTATTCTGAAAATTTTGAGATTTCAGGTTAGTCTTGTCATCAAGTTAATTAAGTTCATTTTCATGTTAATTTCTTTTATTTGTAATTTGATTTATAATCCAACCATGATTAACTAGAACTATTCTTATAAATTTTTTTTTAAAGAATTTATCATTTCAAAACTTAAATCTTATATCTTTATTTATCACATATTTATTAATAAATCTAACTTTTAAATTTATGAACATGTATTTCATTGTAAATATAATCACTCCTACAAAAGAAAAAAAAAAAAAATTCTTGACCGACACCCCTCCCCTGCAAGACTTAAAGTGTGAACAGAGCACAGGCCTGCCGCAGCAATGTATAATTCTTCTTTATTTTCGTTCTAATGTTTGAATTTGGGATGTATACATCATACCCAATTTCAATTTTTTGTTGCCAACAACTCATTTTTTGCACCCTAAAGAGTGCATAGCCGCATTCCTTTTCCTCCCAAAATTTCGGAATAGTTTCGAACATCTTTCAAATTAATTAAAATTCTATGGTCAGAGAGGAGAAATTCAATCTCCTTGACAACGATCCGGGATAACCGCCCAAGGCTAACATTCAAACTCTCAACCGGCCCCTTGACTTATGTCAGAATATCCACGGTCCAAATATGCTATGGCCACTGAATTAAGTGATTGTGCAAAACGTGCTTTGTGAATGGTTAAAGTGAGGAATAGCAAAGAAGGAAGGTGTTGGCTTTTGATAGTGAAAGGTTGGTGTGGTGGGCTCATGGAGTCGGGGAAGATGAATTTGAACATAAACGACACAAATCGCAGCTATATGAACAGTGTCTTTTGTTGTTTTTGCAATCTAGTAAAGTCATTGTAATATTGACGCCCGGAGGAAGCTTCATTCGCTTTCCATCTGAATTTTTTTTAGTACTTTTTGGCTAACAAATGAGGGTTTGTGGCGGATGGAAGGAAGCTACATCAAAAAGTTGTTCTCAGATAAGCAATTACAGGGCAAAACCGATGGACCTATGATTTTCATAACTGATATATGAGATATATATCAGCCGACCAGTGCAGGAGAATCGGATCTTGACGTTTTCTAGAAGAGCAGTGTCTTGTCATTATTTCTAACAGCTTTTTTTTTCTTCTAGATATTCTCTTAAATATTAGGTTAATGGTTAATAAATAGGTAATTTTATTTTATTTATTTATTTAG